AGGGAGCCCGATGTGGGACTCGATCCCGGGACTCCAGGATCATGACCTGAGCCGAAGGCAGTCGCTTAACCGACTGAGCCACCCAGGCGCCCCAGTCCAGTGGTTCTTAATCTTTGTTCGTCCCAGGCGCATGTGAGTGGCACCCTCCCATAGACTCCCCAGGGCTGACTCGACAGCTTACTAGCTGTTTCTCCACCTCTTTTTCCTCCTTCTCAGGAAAGAAAATGCAAATGAACAAGAGAGATGTTATTAGAGGGATAAATACTAACTCATTCTAACTTACTCTTTTAAAAAAGCAAACCATTCACAAACATTGGTATTGAATGATCTCTGGGACCTCTGGACGTGAGGTACCTCACGACTGATGGTGGCACCCCAGTTTGTTGTTAACATCTCCGATGGTTGAGAACCGCTGCATTATTCACTATCACTGTTACCTCAGCTGCTGCCACAGGCTTACAAAATAACAGCCGCCTAACAAATGTTTGCTAAAATGAAACTAAATTCTCCAGGGTAAGCTTTTTGCTCAAGGTGGGATTCCTCCCATCCTGTGGCACCTTGTGGGGCTGTGTCCCTTGGTGGTCAGGTGGCTCAGACGTTCTCCTGAGCGGAGCAAATCCTAGAAGGTAAAACTGTGGACTGTGGATCACTACCCCTCCAGATCACATCATACCCTTGAAAGCCAAATCAAATTAGTTGCTGGCATACATGTATACATCGTAGGTGAAATACCTGCATTCTCTCTGTATTCTTCGTCAGGATCAAGGAGGCCATTTTTGATGGGTCCAGGGAGGTGCCCTTGTCTCTCCCACGTAGCTGTGACGGAGATAAACAAACACGTTCTCACTAAAGTTCCCACTTGCACAAGTGTGATTACACAGAACAGACCCTGAGTGTTTTTTATTCCTGCATGTTAAGTCATTACGGTACTGTAACACAGAAAGAGAGGCAAACCACAAATGAATAATAATTTGAAGAAAAGAAGGAAACTAATATTCATGGAGTGCCTACCATACGCCAGGCACTTTACAGTTTCACATCTAATTTTCTCAACAATGTTTATGATGCATGTATTATTACCCAGAAACGGAGTCCCAGAGTGGTTAAGTAACTCATGAAAAATGATAGTGAGGCTGGAATTTGAACTCAAGACAGACTTGAAAGCTGTGCTCTGGCCGCCATCACACTAGACCCCAAATGACGCTCAGTGTGGGCCGTGCTCTGCGGGGGTTCTTCAGTGTAACACAGTGGGACCGCATTATATCACTGCTAACCACAGGGTAGCATTCTGCATGAGAAGGGCCTATTACGCACCCTATCCACTAAGAGTTATCTTATATTTAAGATACTTATTTTTAAGATATTTATATCTTATTTTTAAGATACAAAACTTATTTTTAGAATTTTTTAAGTTTACTTTTTATTTTTAGTAATCTCTACACCCAGTGTGGGGCTTGAACTCATGACCCCGAGATCAAGAGTGGCATGCTCTTCTGACTGAGCCAGCCAGGTGCCCCACCAAAACTTATTTTTATACATAAAAAACCCAAGGGGCACCTGGGTGGCTCAGTCGGTTGAGCATTCAACTCTTGATTTCAGCTCAGGTCATGACCTCAGGGTTGTGAGATCAAGCCCCACATCAGGCTCTGTGCTCAGCAGGAGGTCTGTTTGAGATTCTCTCTCTCCCTCTCCCTCTGCACCTCCCCTTGCCTCTCTCTCTCTCTCTTAATCTAAAATAAATAAATCTTAAAAAACCCAACCAAAGATTTTATAGCCATCCAATTCCAAAGTACTAACAAACGACTGGGCACCTTTCCTCTGTGCTCCTACTTCATCCTACTCTCTGATGTAATTCCCTGCTTCCTTGTTAAAATCCCCAGTAGACTCTAAGGTCCCTAAGGCAGAGACAGTGTTTTGTTCAATGTTGTATTCCCAGCATGCAGTAGAGGGTGTAGCATGTAGTGGTTACATAGTTCGATTTGTTGAATGCAGGGATGGACAGATGATGCAGCAGCCTGTTCTTATGTTCTAGGTGTAAAATCACAAATCAATGGTTGTCAGACTTCAGTAGTGTCTAATCCAAAATATTGTCAATGTCTCCAGTAATTTTAAGGTTCCCCTGCTCCCTGTGGCACCAACAGGAGGGTGACACAGATAGAGGCCTATTGTATTCTTCGGCCTATGGAAGAGACATATTAATTGGAAAAATCAGAGAATCTGCAACAAAGAGTCAAAGATGGAACAGGATAGAGAGCTCAGAAATAAACTCATGCATATACGATCCATTAATTTTTTACAACAGAGTCAACATATACAATGGGGAAAAGATGGTCTCTTCAATAAATGGTATTAGAAAAACTAGATATCCAGGCGCCTGGGTGGCTCAGTTGGTTAAGCGACTGCCTTCGGCTCAGGTCATGATCCTGGAGTCCTGGGATCGAGTCCCGCATCGGGCTCCCTGCTCGGCAGGGAGTCTGCTTCTCCCTCTGACCCTCCCCCCTCTCATGCTCTATCTCATTCTCTCTCTCAAATAAATAAATAAAATCTTTAAAAAAAAAAAGGAAAACTAGATATCCACATGCAAACCATACCCCATCTTGTACCATACACTAAAGTCAACTCAAAATGGATTAAAAATTTAAACTTAAGACCCGAAACCATAAAACTCCGAGAATAAAACATAAGGGATAAGCTCCTTGACATTGGTCTTAGCAATGATTTTTTGGATTTGACACCAAAAGCAAAAATAAACAAGCGGGACTAGATCAAACTAAAAAGCTTCTGCACAGCAAAGGAAATCATTAATAAAATCAGAAGGCAGGGATACCTGGCTGGCTCAGTTGGTAGAGCACGTGACTCTGTGAGTTCAAGCCCCATGGTGGGGGTAGAGATTACTTAAAAAAAATTTACCCTACCCCCAAAAAAACAAAATCAAAAGAAAACCTATGGAATGAGAGAAAATATCTGTAAATAATGTTATTCAGTCTTAAAAAAGAAGGAAATCTTGCCATTTGTGACAACATGGATGAACCCGGAGGGCATCATGCTGAGTGAAAGGAGGCAGAGAGAGAAAGACAAATACTGCATAGTATCACTTAAGTGTGGAACCTAAAAAAAAGATCAAATTCGTAGATAGAGAGAGCAGAATGGTGGTTGCTGGGAGTGGGGAAATAAGGAGAAGATGGCAAAAGGGTATAAACTTTCAGTTATTAAAGAAAAAAAAAGTAACTACCTGAGGTGGTAAATGTGTTAATTAACTCAGTGCTGGGAACCCTCTCACTGTGTGTAAATATATCAAATACCATGTTGTACACTTTAAATATATTACCCAAAAAAAGTTCTGATAAATTTTCTATGAATGAGTTAAAAAAAAAAAAAGGTAAGCAAAACTACTACCTCATTCAACCTTGGTTTGTCATTTCGCATCGTGGAAGAACTGGCATTCTCTGAATTTCTGAAAAAGGTAGGCTGTTTTTGCAGAGTAGAAGCAAACCCTGCCCTTTCCTAGAAGGATTGAGTGCAAAGAGAATATTTTTTAATTGATCCATTGCAATTACTCTACTCATAATTGACCCAATTCACTCAACAGTAAAATCTCCACGTCTGAAAGCATTTTCATTGTTAGGTAGCAGGGGGCGTGGAGTGGGGATGACAGCTGGGAGGAGACTGGGAACGAGCCTGGCATCCCTATACTGGACAAGGCCGGACACCTGAGCTACCCAGCAAGCCTGGACTGGCTCCAGCCACCACTTCTCTAGTAACCACCATGATCAAAATCCATGCCAGAGTGTAGAACAGAATCGGTGGGCCAAGGCTGAGATCTGCTCAGAGATGTCCAGAGGACTCATGGAAGAGCTAAGAACTCAAAATAGCTTCCTTCTACCCCATTCCCCATTCCCTTTCTGGTTTAGAGTAAACTTTATCCCCTTGTCCTGCTCTGTCCATGGAATGCTCTTTGACCAGAGCCTTCTTACTGGGACATCTTCCGTTAACTTTAACTCCCTCATCAAATTATTTTTCTGATACTGTTCATTTCGCTGTTTCCTCGTCTGAAGTGGCTTCTTTTTTTTCTTCTTATACATCTTCTTCTTTTGATTCACCTATTCCAGAAAGCACAGAGAAAGTCGTCATTGGGGATTCCAGAGGTACACCCACCCACATGGAGCCCTTTTCCACAGGACACTCAAGCCACAAGGGCTAACCCAGTACGTGGGCCCCATGGTGCTGACCTCCTGCTGGTTTGGGGAATAAACAGTTCAGGTACCTCCATAGCAGAATCCACTCCCCATTTAACATCCCCAAATCCCACTACTATAGGTATACTGCCAAAGGGGCAACTATACCAATAACCAAGTATCTGTGTTTCAAAATATAAAACCAGATTAGTCATGGCAATAATGTCAGGTACAGATAATACTGATCATTAGGTATGTGGTTAAAAGATTCAGTTCGGCTGGGGTGCCCAGGTAGTTCAGTCAGTTAAGCGTCTGACTCCTTTGGCTCTAGTCATGATCTCAGGGTTGTGGGACTGAGCCCCTTATTAGGGTCTGCGCTGGGTGTGGAGGAGCCTGCTTAAGATTCTCTCTCTCCTGCTCCCTCTGGCACTCCCCTCACCCCCCCAAACCACTCACCCTCTCTCTCTCTAAAAAAAAAAAAGACAAAAATTTTTTGTAAAATTTAGAAGATTCAGTTTGGCCATTACCACAAGGTGGCTTTAATAATTAAGCAAATGAAGCTCAGGACTAATTATCCGGGGACCTATGGTGTGGTGAAGTTTATACTGATGTAAATCCAGCTGAAAAACTTATACGGTCCAATCTCATTTGGCTGACTCCACCTGGCACAGCCTTAAGCTCAACTTATGATGGAGATATTTCTTAATGCAACTAGGAAATCATGTGCATAATGAATTATAACAAATATTTTGTTGTTTCTAAAGCTTTTATATCATCTACATAAGAAAAAGTCTGTGAACAAGATGGGGCAAAAAAAAATACTTAATATATGGAAATATAAAACTATCTACGACTACATGAATAAAGAAATACTTTTTAAAAACGTATGGGTCAGGGTGCCTGGATGGCTCCGTCGGTGCAGCATGCAATTCTTGATCTTGGGGTTGTGATTTCGAGCCCCATGTTGGGTGTAGAGACATAAGTATAAAAATAAAGTCTTAAATAAATAAATAAGTATGGGTCATTTTTAACAACCTCTATCTCTTAAGACAGTTTTCACTTTTTTTTAAAGATTGTATTTATTGGGGCGCCTGGGTGGCTCAGTTGGTTAAGCGTCTGCCTTCGGCTCAGGTCATGATCCCAGGGTCCTGGGATTGAGCCCCATGTCAGGTTCCTTGCTCAGAGGGGAGTCTGCTTCTCCCTCTCTCTCTCTGCCCCTCTCCCCTCTCATGCTTGCTCTCTCTCTCTCAAATAAATAAAATCTTTAAAAAAGTAAAAAAAATAAAGATTGTATTTATTCATTTGACAGAGAGAGAGAGCACAAGCAGGGGGAGCGGCAGGCAGAGGGAGAAGGAGAAGCAGGCTCATCACTGAGCAGGGAGCCCAATGCAGGGCTCGATCCCAGGACCCTGGGATCATGACCTGAGCCAAAGGCAGATGCTTAATGACTGAGCCACCCAAGTGCCCCTTTTCTACAGACTTTAGCTGGAACATTCCACCAAATTATCCAGGAGGTTCATATTGTCCTTAAGGCTGCTACTTCCTGGGGGTGACTGTCTATACTATCTTACCTCATGTGCTATGTTCAGTAGGTGAAGAGGGAGACCGTCTGAGAGGGAACTGTCAGAACCACTGGTGCTGTTTCCAGAAGGAAAGAGGAAAGGGAAACAGCTGTTATTAATGTCTAGGAAGGGGAACATTTACCAGACCAGCAGCATGGGATTAGGATATCCAGTCTGCTACTTGCCCCCAGTGCCTGCATTTCGATGACTAAGAATTCTTGACAAGCACATTCATTCATTCATCCTGAACATGTACTGCACGCCAGGCAGTGCATCAAGCACAGAGATGAACGTGGCAGAGCCCCTGACCCCACGGAGTTTGCAATCCATGTGGCAAAATAAATACTGGCCAGGTGGGCCAAGCTGCCCTTGGCAGCAACCGTGAGAGGCTGGAAGATTCTTAGTGTGCAGCCCCGGACAAGACCAGGGGACTGTGATTTGTTTGAAAGCAGGGTTTGTTTCATTCATTTCTGTCTGGCCGGTACCAGTTCAGAGAGCAAGGATCCTACCAGGTACTCTTTAAAACTGCGTTGAATATACACATAAACATATCTGATAACAAGGATTCTGTAGGTCGGAGACCAGGAATACTACTTTCATTATCCCAATTCCTGCTTCAAAAGTTGTGGATGCGTGTCCAGACTGATATAACGTCTTCCCCCACAAACGGGCAGCCCCCCTTCCTGCAAGGGCTAGGATGAACAAGGGCTGAACGAGGGCTCAGATAATCCACCTTGCTTCTTCTATCACATCCACTGTTCAAGTGTCACATTGTCTTTTCCCCTTTTCTGGGGTGTGGCCGGCTAGAACTGGGAGCTGTGCTCTACCATATGGCCTCCATAGATAAAAAAATGTCTTAGGCACAAAACTCAGATCTCCTGGGAAAAGATGGCATTTCAAACCATTCTTTCGCTCATGCCTTTCATCCTGTTCACACTCCCCCTCCCTCCCTTTGGCGCACAATGAGGAACCCCACAGTAAGACAGCAGGAAGAAAGCCCTCTCTTCTCTGATCTAATTCCCAATTCCCTGTTCTTGAAAGGCTTTTCTAGTCTGGAGAGTAGCTTTTGAGGCCATTGGATAATAGTCTCTCAAGTCCCTTTCGGAGATAACGGAAGACTTTAATAAACAGGATAAAAGCATTAGATGCAGTATGCCCCAGAAAATGTTGAAGACCATGTAGGTGCACACACAGGGCACACTCAAACTCGGCTTGGACACTCACAGTCTGCTTTTCTGCGTCACGGTGGGAACGGACAGGTGGAGCCCCGTGGAGGCTTGTAACAGCCGGCTTCCTGATGCAGATGCTGGCAAACTGGTTTCAGTAATTCTTACCTCACCATATCAGGGTACCCCTAGATACTAGAATGCAGTCTCCCTGTTTCTGAGGTGACTTCTCCTGGGCTCTATCCTAATGGGGTTGACATCCAGGGGCATTTTGCTGTTGAGGCTGAAAGTGAAGCGTGGTTTTTGCAGTGGTCCCAGAGAGTTAGGCAGAGAATTCTGGGAGAGTGGAGGAGGCAACATGGTGAATGGGCATACTACCTGGCCTGATGCTCTGATTTAAGGTTCCTAAGGAGACATTTGGGAGACTCAGAACTGCAGAACTGCTTCAGGGCCCAGATGTCGATGTGCCACTTAGAGTAGGAGGGAGACCAGCCCCTTCGCCCTGTCCACTGCGGTCTACAGCGCCACCTCTGGTCGAGGACTGCCATGTCCAGCCCAGAAACCTGACTGAGGGCAGCTGGGGCAGGCTTGAGGCACCCTGGCCAGTAAGCTGGAGTAGAAGGTGTTCTTGCACACCTGTGAGACACTCACCCACCTGGGGGCTTCCTAAAATACTTGTGGAGAGTGTGGGGCTGAGATCCTTCACACTAAATTAATTCAATAAATATGTATTGAGCTCTCCCTAAGGGCTGGGTACTGTTCTAGGTGCATGAGATACAGAGGTGAACAAAATAAAGATCTCTGACCTTGTGGAACCCACATCTTCATAGGGGAAACAGACAATACATAATAAACACAATAAAGATGTAAATGACATAGAAGGACAGAGGTGATGAAATGCTTTGGGAAAAAGGAGAGCACCTCAGAGGGACAGGGAATGAAAGGCAGGGAGGCAAAGGCTGGGGAACAAGTGGCAGTAGTACAGTAACAAGGGCAGGCCATATTGAAAACGTTGACATTTAAACAAAGACTTGAAGGAGGTGAGGGATGAGCCATGTAGATATCTAGGGGAAGAGCATTCTCGGCAGCTGGGACCGCTAGTGCAAAGGCCCTGAGGCAGAAGAGTGAGGAGGCCAGTGTAGCCATAGCGGCGTGTGAGAGGCTGAGGGTGGGGGTTATAAGGTGGCCAGATACTACAGCCTGGACTTTTTACCTCATTTCCTGGCTCCTCCTTACCTCTGTGACCTCTCAGAGCTGTGGTACCCAGCTTAGACTTGGACCTTCTCTTTACTCTAGCTGCACTTGCTCCCTTGGGATCTCATCTAGTCTTAAGGTTTATTTTTTTTATTTATTTTTTTAAAAGATTTTATTTATTTATTTGAGAGAGAGAGTGCATGCATGTGAGTGGGGAAAGGGGCAGAGGGAGAGGGAGAGAATCTCAAGCCAACTCCATGCCAAGCATGGAGCCCGATGCGGGGCTTGATCTCACAACCCTGAGATTGTGACCTGAGCTGAAACCAAGAGTCAGATGCTTAACTGACTGAGACACCCAGGTATCCCTAGTCTCTAGGTTTAAATATCATCTATCCAATGATGACTCTATTTGACCTCTCCACTGAACTCCAGACTCATATATTCAACTGCCCATCCAATATCTCCATTTAGATGTCTAATAGACATCTCAGAATGAACGTGCCTAACACTAGCCTCTGGATCTTCATCACTCCCCTAACCTTCTCCACCCCCTTGATCTTCCCCATCTCAGTAAAAGGCAACTCCATTCAACCAATTATGGACTCATTCTCCAATCCACAAGAAAGTCCTAATGTTTGAGACTTCAAAATATATCTAGAATCCAACCAATTCATACACCCCCAACCACTACAACTACTCAGGTCTAGACCACTGTCTGTATTTACCTGTATTATTGCAAGAGCCTCCTAATGAATGTTCCTGCTTACACACCTTCCCTCTCTACAATCTATTTTCCACATAGCAGCCAGGGTATTCCTACTGAAACTAAAATCCAAGTCAGAACATGACACTTCTCTCCTTAAAACCTTCCAAAGGCTTTCCACCTCCCTTGGAGTAAAAGACAAAGCCTTTACAATCGCCTAAAGGCCCTACACATACTGCCCGCCCATCTCCCTAACTTAGAAATGAGGCTGTCGGGCGCCTGGGTGGCTCAGACGGTTGGGCGTCTGCCTTCGGCTCAGGTCATGATCCCGGAGTCCTGGGATCGAGTCCCGCATCGGGCTCCCTGCTCCTTGGGAGCCTGCTTCTCCCTCTGCTTCTCTCTCTCTCTGTCTCTCATGAATAAATAAATAAAATCTTTAAAAAAAAAAAAAAAGAAATGAGGCTGTCAAAGAACAGGCACTCAATACATAGTTGTTGAAGAAATGAAATATATTTAAGTGTGCCAAGATTTTTTTTTTTTTTTAAAGATTTTATTTATTTATTTGACAGAGAGACACAGTGAGAGAGGGAACACAAGCAGGGGGAGTGGGAGAGAGAGAAGCAGGCTTCCCGCCGAGCAGGGAGCCCGATGCGGGGCTCGATCCCAGGACCCTGGGATCATGACCTGAGCCGAAGGCAGACACTTAACGACTGAGCCACCCAGGTGCCCCTAAGTGTGCCAAGATTTATTCAATATTTTGCACCTGAGGTTCAAAACCAATGAAACAACAAGAGCAAACAATAATAATAATAATAATAATAATAATAATAATAGAACTTCTCTGGTTTTTCTTTGAAATGAAGTTTGTTACCTGGATTCAATGTCAGACAAAGAGATGTCACTCCAACTTCCTTCTAAATCCGTATCTTGTCCAAGTTCATTGAATTTCTTACGGATCTCCTGTTGTAAGAGCTCTTTAAGCTCTGCTAAACACTGCATGAACTGTGGAAGTGAAAAAAAAATTTTTTATTATTCATTTATTTATTTATTTATCAAATATTTACTAAGTATATGCTGAAAGGCAATTTATTTATTGCTGGGGACATAAAGATGAGTGGGCTATCACCTCTGCTAGTAAGGACGTATTAACATATAAATTATATGAGCTGTAGTAAGTGTCTCTAGGGCAGAACATCACTGAACACTGCTTTAGGCACTTTTCTCTGGCTAAAGGCAATAATAAACTTCTAAAATAATGCAAAGGTCTGATTTATTTTATTTTTTTGAATAGCAAGGAAGGAAATGTTGGAATGGGTTTGTTCAGATTTTGGCCCATGGCAGATGTGATTTAACAGGCCATGTTGTGGTCTCATTCTCCTTTAAATATGTTTTATTAAACAGTTGCATCCAGAGCAGTCTGTACCAGTGTCCCCAGGGCCATCTGAGAGGGGGCATGAGAGAGGAGTTAGACTGAGCCCATGAGCACAGACTCCCTTTTGAGAAGCTGAGCGATGAAGGGAAATAGAACTACCCTCCTGACTCTCTGCTAGAGAAACAAGGCCAAAGGAAACCCGTGTATGAGTCAGGACAGGGGCAGCTAAGAACACGTGCAGTTGAGGAGAAGAAGAGGATGAAAAAACTGAGGACACAGAAAAGGAGGAGGGAATGAATGAGGCAAGACCTTAGGGAGGCCATGGAGTGGGGGGCTGGCAGGTGTGCAAAGGGCAGGGTTTGTTTTGGAGAAGAGAAAGGACTCCTGCTTTTCTGAAAAGCAAAGTGAGGGAGAAGTGTGCTGACGGATAGTCGGCACGAAGGCTTCTACCTTCTTGGCAAGTTATGAGGTCTTGCCATTTGCGGAGAGTGTGCAGGCTGGGGGCTTTCTTACTTTTATTGATAATAAAAACATCTGAACGATATTAAGAGGAAAATAAAGACCACCTATAATCTCATTGGGCTGACCCTGGCCCCATGTGAAACTGGTCCCAGTAGCATCACCACTGTTCTTGAAAGCCCATTCTTACCTTGGTTCGGTCAGGATCACAGAAATCCAGAAGGGTGTCACAAACATGGTAACCTAGAGACTTCAGATCCTCAGTGGTAAAGTGAGTATCTCTTTTATTGCCTGAAGAAAAAAATCCATAAACATTTCTTATTAAATCCTAATGAGCAAATGCAATCTAATTTATGAATATTTCCTTAACAACACCACCTCTGATTCTAGAATATTGTGCTTCTGGACAGGGTCTTTCTCCCTCTAGTTCTGGTTTGGTTCAGAAGAATCTTTGACAATGAATAAGTCTGCAGTCATATAGCTATAGTTACTGAAGTTTTACTCTATGGTAGGTGCTATGCCAAGGGCTCTATGTGCATTATCTCATTAGGTAGGACCTACAAGGCGGGTACTACTGTTATTGCCAGTTTTTAAAAAAATGAGGTTCACAGAGTTAAGTAACTTAGCCAGGATCACACCACTTGGAAATGGAGCTGAAATTCAAACCCGGATGTGCCTGATTCCAGGTCCTGAGCAACCGCTATGCTATATTGCCCTGTCAAGTATTACATTTCACACTCAAATTTAGGTTGTCAAATTCAGCAGAAGGCACAGTTAGGAAAATCCTCTAGGTCAATCATCTCTCCAGCATTCAAAGGGATTTCATGGCCCTCCGTGCTTTGCCTGGCTTTCCCTTGCCGTGCTGACCTATGATATACAAACGAGAGCTTACCCAGGGTGGACCCCCCAAAGGTAGACTCCATGGTGTAGCTGTTGAGGATCCCCATGCGCCACATCACAACTCGGCCGGTTCCTTCCTTGCACTTTTGCACCTTAAAGTTACAACTATGAAAAGAGAACTAAAGAGAAACCCAAATCCTCTGTTAAACATAAACTGGCAAATGTTAAGATGCCTAAGATTCATTACTACAATACAAGAATGGTTTCCTGGGGGGTCTATATATCATTTCCTAACATATGTTCCATAAAATAGTAGTTTTACGGGATGTTAACAGGTATTACAGAGGAGAAAATGAGTACTGTGGTCATGTTGGTCAGAAGAAGGAAGGACTAATAAAATTACACAGACTTCCTATGCAGGATCTCTCAGAGCATTTAGTATGTTATTGTCGACTGTGAGTCTCCAAAGGGGAGAGAGTAGATTCTGTTTCTTACTGCCAGTGACCTTTTCTTCCCTTTCCCACCCTTCCCGGGGACATTTTGCTGGACAAGGGTGCCTTGAACTCCTGGTTGTGAATGCTGGCTTACTTTGCATTCAAGACATTTTTCTTTTTTTCTTTTTTTTTAAAGATTTTATTTATTTATTTGACAGAGAAAGACACAGCGAGAGAGGGAACACAAACGGGGAGTGGGAGAGGGAGAAGCAGACTCCCCGCCGAGCAGGGAGCCCCATGCGGGACTCGATCCAGGGACTCCAGGATCATGACCTGAGCCGAAGGCAGTCGCTTAACCAACTGAGCCACCCAGGCGCCCCTCAAGACATTTTTCTAAGGTTTCTTTCTACCCCTCCCCAACTTGAGCTCTTGGATCCAGTTGGGTTTATCCTCTATCTGGATTCTGGTATGCCTCACCCCTTTAATCTCTGCCTGGAATTCTCACTCCCTCTTACTTAATGTTCTCGGCTTGGAGTTCAATATCCTCCATTGTCTCTCATGACCACTCCAACCCTCTTTCCTTACTGGGGGTTTGTAACATACACTTGGCACCCATCCCAACCTACCATATCCTGCTGAAAATGCCTTACAGTTGGAAGGTATCTCACCACTTAGCGGTTTTTAAGTTGTGCACCCTGGAATCCAGGGGTTCTATTGAGGAGCCTCGGGCATTCCTGCCACAAGGACTGAAGGAGGCAGAATGGGCAAGGTTCCAAGCCCAAGCCCTCTATCTGTCTTCAATTAGTGTAGCTCTGCTTTTAACTGTTTCAGATACTGGGTTCTGGATATCATTTTTTTTT